GGGGATGAGAAAGATCTGGGAGCTTCTGGCATTGTCACCTCCTGTGTCTGCTTAGAGCTTCCTAAGTTCTTGTCTAAGGAGGTCCCTTGAAGCCCCGTTAGGCTCCGGAACTTCCTTCCAGTCCCGCAGACATGCAAAGGCAGACATCGGGAGAGAGGAGCTGAGAAGGGAGGCAAGGCCAGATCACCAAGGGCCTTGAGTGCTAAGCTAAGGAGCAGCCTCCTCTCTTCTATGATCCCTTCGGAGTCACGGGCCTCAGGCGGGCAGACGCCGCTCCTGTGGGTCCCCCGTGCTGCACTCGCTTCCTCTCTGGGCTCTACATTGAGGCGCAGGGCCTGGCCTCCCTGTACAGATGAGGAAGGTGGGGCTCAGGGCGCTGGGTGCCAGCCTGAGCCGCACAGCGAGCCCGTGTAGAGGTCATCACCTGCTGAGAGACGCTTGCTGGCAGCCAGAAGCTGGGAGGGAGGATTTAGAAAATGACAGTAGATGATGAGCTCGAATGGATGGATTTTTGAAGGAATTGTTTTAAATCTATTTAAGGTTCATATTGTTTTCTCAAAGTCAGAGAGGGGAAATGTTAATGGCCATATTCAGACCAGCACCCAGGGCTGCATGAAGACAGCAGTGGCCCCAGGAGCTTTTGCCTTTTGTATCCCTTCCTATATATTAAAAAAAAAAAAAAAAAATTCAAGCTCTGGCCAGTGGTGCTCAGTGGTTACAGTGTCGGCCCATGGAGCAAAGTGTCACAGGTTCAGTTCCCAGTCAAGGGTGCATGTGGGAGGCACAGATCAATGTGTTTCTCTCACATCAATGTGTGTGTGTGTCTCTCTCTCTCTGTCTCTCCCTCTCCCCCCGCCCTCCACCTAAAAATCAATGGAAAAAATATCCTCAGGTGAGGATTAAATAAAAATGAATTAATTAAAATGTATATTTTATAACTAAATATATTAACATATATTACATCTTTTCTTCACCTAAAAGTTTACTTTTTTTTCTTCTGATTTTAAAAGAAATTAAAACATTTTATGGGCCCCTGACAGCATTGTGGGGCCTGGGCTCTGTGCCCAGGGCCCAAGGGAGAGGCCTCCCGGCAGCTCAGGTCT